TTGTTTCTGTCCAACTAAGACCTAGGGTTACAAGCGTGCACAGGACAGTGATTGTTATGTGGGTTCTGGTACCTGAATCTAGTCCACATGATTGAGCTGGGAGCATTCTTTAACTGTAGAGCTTTACTTGAGCACACCCACATTCTCTGTTGGTGTGTAGAAATATGCAGAAACCAGAGGTTAACATTACGTAACTTCCTCAGCTACTTTAAAATATGTCTTATTCAGTAAGATTTATTGTTTTATGTGTATGTCTTACCTGTGTGTATGTGTGTACACCACATTTGTGCCTGAATGCCTGAAGAGGTCAGAAGAGGATATCAATGAAAGCAGAGTATTACAAGCGCCAATGAGATATTGTTCAGGGATACTGTGCTCATGTTCTCTAAGAATGTACCTAGAGAAGAAATTATAGAGGGTATGGAATGGATAAATGACAGTTTTTTTTGTTCAGTTTGGAAGTTTAGTTCATAAGTGTTTTAAGTTTTTGTTTTTTTGTTTTATTTATTGTTTTGTTTTTTTGGTTTTTCAAGACAGGGTTTCTCTCTGTAGCTTTGGAGCCTATCCTGGTACTCGCTTTGGAGACCAGGCTGGCCTCGACCTCACAAAAATCCACCTGCCTCTGCCTCCTGAGTGCTGGGATTAAAGGCGTGCGCCACCAATGCCTGGCTTGTGAACTATTTCTACTTGTATTTATGTGCTGCTATTGTGCTAGAGAATGAATTGATGCTGAAAGTACACAATAGCCAGGAATGGTGGCTTCTGCCTATGAATCCTAGCAGTTGGGAAATTGAGACAGGTTTTTCAAACGCTTTGTTTTATTTTACTCTCTGAGTAGCTGAGGCTGTCATTGAATTCAGTATGTGACAGTGACCTCAGACTGACCATATTCTTGTCACTTCACTTTCTGAGTGCTGGAATTACGGGTATTCGGCATCATGACCTTCCTTTCTAACCTGTACTCTTTGATTCATGATGATGACAAAACTCAAGCTTTAGCTGGGAACATTATCAAAACTTACAGTTAGGGAACATTACCAAAACCGAAATTAATATTTAGATTTAATGGAGAGACTTCCAAAATATCTATGTTCCTAAAATTTGTTCAGACCCCCTCTTTTCTCCTTTTTGTCTTTAACTATGTAGGAGGGTGGTATAACGTTTAGTCACAGTGACATCTAGTGGTGAAAGCCATTAACATTTTTTACTTAACCATATGGAAAACTACCCATTTTTAAATCTACCAAAAAAAAAATTTAAAGAAAAAAAGAAATGGTAGCCTGGTGGTGGTGGTGGCGCATGCCTTTAATCCCAGCACTCGGGAGGCAGAGGCAGGCGGATCTCTGTGAGTTCGAGACCAGCCTGGTCTACAAGCGCTAGTTCCAGGACAGCCTCCAAAGCCACAGGGAAACCCTGTCTTGAAAAACCAAAAAAAAAAAAAAAAGGAATGGTAATATACCAAAGAGAGAATTATACAGTCTAAACTTTTGGTTCCATAGATATTTTCACTGATAAAAAAAAATTACGGAAAATATAAAAGGGAGGGGAAAAATAATGCTTCCCATCACAATTTGTAGCATGAATTCTCTTTGCCCTTAATAATAAAAACTTGGAGTCAAGCTATCAGGGAGTGAAAGCTGAAGGATCAGAGAAGCAGAGCAACTAGCCACTAGAGTTCTTATCTCAGTGCTCAGATCAAGGGGAGATCCTGTCCTCTCTCTGCCTAGCCATATCCCTTCCTATCTTTGCCTCCTTAGTGCTGGGATTAAAGGCATGTAACTCCCAAGTACTGGGAATAAAGGTGTAAGCCACCACTACTTGGCTGTTTCTCTTTTGGACTGGATCAATTTCGTATAGCCCAGGGTGGCCTTGAACTCACAGATCCACCTGCCTCGTCTCTTCCCCAGTGCTGGGATTAAAGGTGTGGACACCACTTCCTGGCCTCTGTGGCTAACTCGTATGACTAGCTCTTCACTCTGATCTTCAGGAAAGTTTTGTTAGATCATTTAAAAAAGTATATCACCCCAACAGTCACCAATTAAACTATTGTTTGTGTGTGAATGCATGACAGGATAACCCTTTATAGCCCAGACTGGCTTTGGTTTTACTATCCTCCTGCATATCTGCCTGCTAGTGCTGAAATTACAGCCATATTCCATTCTTCTCAGCATGAATATTCAAAGACTTTTTTGTTTTTTTTTTTTTTGTTGTTTTGTTTTTTGTTTTGTTTTTTTTTGTTTTTTTTTTTGGTGTGTGGGGGTGGTGGTTTGAGGCAGGGTTTCTCTGAGGCTTAGGAGGAACTAGCTCTTGTAGACCAGGCTGGTCTCAAACTCACAGAGATATGTCTACCTAGTACTGGAGTAAAGATGTGTCTGTGTTTTGGGGGGCGGGGGTGCCGTTCAAAAATTTTCTTGTGTAATTGAATAATTGGATTTTTTTTTCTTTTTTTTTTTCTTTTTTTTTTTTTTTTTTTTTTTTTTTTTTTTTTTTGAGACAGGACTTCTCTGTGTAGTCCTGGCTGTCTTGGAGCTCACTTTGTAGACTAGGCTGGTCTACAAACAACTCGGAGACCTCTGCCTCTGCCTCTGCCTCTGAAATGCTGAGATTAAAGGCATGGGCCACCACACATGGCCAGAGAACTAGTTGGTATTTATTTATTTAGGTTTTTTGAGGCAGGATTTCTCTGTGTAGCTTTGGAGCCTGTCCTGGAACTCCCTCTGTAGACCAGGCTGGCCTGAATTCACAGTGATCAGATTCTCCTCTCTCTGCATCCTAAGTGCTGGGATTAAAGGGGTGTGCCACCACCACCCAGTCCCAGAGAACCAGTTTTAAGTATTTATGTAAAATACATTTAAGTTTGTATATCATAACCAGTCATTGGTGTGCACAGACCAGCCTGGTCTACAAGAGCTAGTTCCAGGACAGCCTCCAAAGCCACAGAGAGGGCTGGAGAGATGGCTCAGAGATTAAGAGCACTGACTGCTCTACCAGAGGTCCTGAGTTCAATCCCAGAAACAATATGGTGGCTCACAACCATCTGTTATGAGATCTGGTGCCCTCTTCTGGTGTGCAGGTATACAAGGAAGCAGAATGTTGTATATGTAATAAATAAATAAATAAAATTTAAAAAATAAATGATTCAGGAAACATTAAAAAAAAAAAGCCACAGAGAAACCCTGTCTCAAAAAAAGGTTTGTGTATCAAGTGTATGCCTGCTGCCCATAGAGATCAAATCCCCTGGAACTGGAGTTACAGGCAATTGTGAGCAGTCAACATCTTTCCAGCTCCCATGCCTAGGTTTTTTTCTCCCTATGATGCCCAGTGTTTTTTTCTTTGTTTTTCTCAGAGATCTATGCTTGCTCTGTCATATATTCTCAGCCCTCCTCACATTTTTGGGGGGGAAAGGAAGGGAGAGGAGGTTTTCATTAAGTTGCCCATGTTATCTTCTGATCTCTCTGGCACCCCAAATACATGCAGTACACTCATACACATAAATGAATTAAAAATACTCTCATCAGATTGCTTGTAGACAAGTATGTAGGCCATTTTCTTGACAGGAGGACCCAGCACACTGGGGGATGGGTCTCTCCTGGATAGGTGGTCCTAGATAGTCTACCAGAATAAGCAAGCCTTGGAGATTAAGCCAATCCTGTCTCTCGGTTCTTGTATCAAGTTCCTGGCCTGATTTCCCTCATTATGGAGTATGATCTAAGAGTTGTAAGATAAGATAAACCCAGTTCCAGGACACCCTACAAAGCTATAGAGAAACCTTGTCTCGAAAATCTCAAAGAAAGGGCTGGAGAGATGGCTCAGAGGTTGAGAGCGCCAACTGCTCTTCCAGAGGTCCTGAGTTCAATTCCCAGCAACCACATGGTAGTTCTCAACCATTGGTTATGAGATCTGGTGTCCTCTTCTGGTGTGCAGATACACATGGAAGCAGAATGTTGTATACATAATAAATAAAATCTTTAAAAAAACAAAAGAATAAAAGAAACCCCCCCCCCAAAAAAATGAAATAAATCCTTTGCTTCCCAAGTTGTTTTTTTTGTCATGGTACTTATCACAGCAAGATGACAGATAAGAAACCAGAATCCCAAGTAGAATTTTTGGAAATATATGGAAACTAGCCTTCAGACTGGTAGAATGCTTGCCTACTATGTGGAGGCCCTTGGCTCAGTTCCTAGAATGGTGATTTGTTTTACAGTTACTGACATTTTAATTTCATCATGCTTTAGTAATTCCCAAGGTTTTAACTTTTAGGTCATGGCTTTACCTACACTTCTTTACTTTGAAGAAAATAAAAAGATATAACATTTATAGTTGTTTCAGAAATGGATGCTAGAGGTAACAGCTCAGTTTGCCCAAGACTGTCATTAAACTGCCTCTGGTTTCCTAGTTATTTTCATCACAGGAAGGCCAATCTTTAATTTATCTCATTGCTTAACTAGTACCATATTTTAAGATTAAACTGTTCTTTTCTAAAACTGTTATTAAAAGGGATGGGGAACAAATTCCAATATGTTGATGTCATGTTGACTTTTTTATTTGACATGGGTCTTACTCTTTAGCCAAGGTTAGTCTGGACCTACTATGTAAACTTAAACCTGTAATCACTTGGGAGTCCCTCAGGTACTTACTTGGGAGGTTGATTCAGAAGCCTAGGAGTTCAAGGACAACCTGGGCAAAGCAAGACCTTATGTCAGATTATAAAAAGAGATCTTGATGCAGTGGTGCCATATTGGCTAGTGAGATGGCTCAGCAGATAAAGGCATTCGCATCAAGGCTGATTGATAGCCTGAGATTGATTATTAGAACCCATGTGGTGGAAGAGAACTGATTTCTAAATGATGACCTCTGGCTTGGACAAGCATACTACACACACCACTCATGGAAGAAAGAACTGTAATTAAAAGTTGGTACTGTGAATGTAATATCAGTGATGTTTCTATAGCTGTTCTATCCTGTCCACTGCCACCTTTCTCCTTTTCTTTTTATTTCAGGTGATCATGGAGCTCAACTTGGCCTCCATGGATCTGGTGGTGATGGGATGCATGATGAGACAGCAGGTGGAGAAGAAGGAGAGAACAGCCCTGATCCCCAACCCCAAGCTGGTAGGAGGACTCGGCGGGAAGCATGTACATGCCCCTATTGTAAAGACAGTGAAGGAAGGTGAGTTCATTCTCTTGAATATGGAGTTTGTTTTGTTTTTGAATGTAAATAAATTAAAAATGGACTTAGAAATAAGAGGGAAAGGGCATATATATATATAATATTATAATATATACATATATACATATATACATATATACATACATACATACATACATATATATATATTCAAGACACAGGGAACTGGGCCTGGTGGCGCATGCTTTTAGTTCTAGCAGCACTTGGGAGGCAGAGGCAGGCCTGGTCTACAAAGTGAGTTCTGGGACAGCCAGAGCTTTACACAGACAAACCCTGTCTTTAAGAAAAAAAGCAGGTGTGTGTGTGTGTGGTTGTGGGTGTGGGTGGGTGTGGGTGGGTGTGGCGGGGAGTGGCTCCGGCGTTAAAGAAGAGGCTCACAACCAAAAAAAAAAGGAACGAAGAAACCCAAAACAACCCCCCCAACAAAAAAAACAAACAAACATTGGAGGGCTGGGTGTGTAGCTCAGTTGGTAAAGGGCTTACCTAGCATTTATGGAGTCCTGAGTTTGAATCACAGCACTTAATAAAGCAGTGTGGTCACACATGCCTGTAATTGCATGTTGTCTGGAGATGCAACACATACATGTATCTACTTAACCCCAGAGTGTATTGTATAGAGAGTGTATAAAGTGAGGGTTTTGACACCAGGTGCATTAAGTGCAGACATGACCTCTCCAAGGTATGGTTGAGGGGAAGGTTTTTATTGTAGACATGAGGAGAGTACAGTCAAAGTCCAGAGCGGAGAGAGAAAGTAGTAGACTAAACATGGCCAATAGATTGGACCCAGCCATGAGAGAGAAGCGGGGAAGAGAGTGGGAAAGGAAGATAAAATGTGAGAGGCAAGAGAGTGCATATTGGAAATGACAGGGTTATATGGGAGCGAGAAGCTTGGGAGGAAAGTGATCTGGAGAAGTATAGGGGTAGTGGTGGGGTAAGAAGAGCCAGGATGGACTCTGTAACAGGTATTTGCTATGCTGAGAGAACCTGGAGGCTAGCATGTGCTTTGATGTGCTAATGGGCATCACAGTTAGCCATTTGGACCTAAAAAGGATCCCATGACAGACCAAAGTATGGTAGCATCAAAGCCCAACTTGGTGAACCAGTGAGTTTTATTGGGATTAGTTAAAGGAATATGGGGTGAGGGGCTACTTACAGAAAAGGAGTAGAAGGCTGAGCATTGGTGGTGCATACCTTTAATCCTAGTACTCGGGAGGCAGAGGCAGGTGGATCTCTGTGAGTTTAAGACCAGCCTGGTCTATAAGAGCTAGTTCCAGGACAGCCTCCAAAGCAGTACAGAGAAACCCTGTCTCAAACCTCCCACCCCCACAAAAAAAAGAAAGAAAGAAAAGAAAAGGAGCAGAAGTGACTCAAAGACGTCTGAATCACCAAAGCCTACTCCAGCATAGATGAGTTTACAAAAGCTGAAGAACTGGAGCATGCAGGCAGCCAGTATCCCTTCTGTCCAGATCAGTTGGTCTAAGCCCCTTCAAGGCAGCTCTCTGGGCTCTTGAGAGTCTTCTCCTTGCAACTTGGCTTGTCTGAGAGTAACTCATGGCTGGCTGGCTTTATCTTTTACTCTTGGAAGGGACCTAGTGAATCTGATCAGTTTCAGGGGCTTCCTGAAACTGTTTTGAGTTGTTCATCCTCTGTTTTATGGGAGATAGTGTGTTTTAACCCCAGAGTATATTGCTACACAACATCCTTGCACTTGGGAGGTGAAATCAGAAATATATTTTATATTTGGTTCTCTGGCTAGGTGTAGTGGTGCATGCCTTTAATTTTAGCACTCAAAGGCAGAGAGGCTGGCGAATCTCTTGAATTTGAGCCCAGCCTGGCCTCCAGAGGTTTTTGAGACAAGGTCTCACCATTCAGCCTCATAGAGATCTCTTACTTCTGCCTCACAAGTGTTGGGATTAAAGACATGCTGCCACACTCAACAGTCCTTATTTTATTTTTGGGGGTGGGGTGGGGTACAATGTTTGACTCTTGTGGAACTCACTGTTCAGACCAAGCTGGCCTCACATTCACAGAGATACTCCTGCCTCTGCCTCACCAGTGTTTGGACTAAATATGTGAGGCACCACATCCAGCTCCTTATTTTATTGTACATGGAATCAGGTTCTTGCTACAATATCCTTGCTTGGCCTTGAATTTTTGGTTCTTGTGCCTCATTCTCCCAAGTAGCTGAGATTACAAGGATGAACCTCTATTCCTTCTTTCACCCTTAAGATTTAGGCCTGGAGTAATGGCTCAGGTTTGTTTTGTTTGTTTGGTTTTTCGAGACAAGATTTGTCTATGTAGTTTTGGCTATCCTGGAACTTGCTCTTGCACATGAAAATAAATAAAAAGAGAACAAGGGCTAGTAAAATGCAGCTTTGTGGTACAGCACTTGCATTTCAAAAAAGTATGCAAGAAAGTCAATGAAGCCAGGTTTGTTAGTGATTCACATCTGCTACTTTAGCACTTGGAAGGTATGGACAGTAAATTGCAAGTTTGAGAATAAGTCTAGTCCAAAAGCCACTTCAAGACCAACATGAACTGAATAAAATAGGCTGTCTCAAAAAAAAAAAAAAAAAAAAATCTCATGGAACAAGGCATAATGGTACGTAGCTGTAATCCTCATCACCCAAGAGGCAGAGGCAGAGGCAGAGGCAGAAGGATAACCCTAAGTTTGAGGCCAACCTGGTCTACAAGTTCCAGGGCAACGGTTATACAATGAGGCATTGTCTCAATAATAGGTAAGTAAATAAATAAACTCACAAGCTGGAGATGAACTCAGTGGTAGAACACTTGCCCAGCATTCAGAGTCAATAAGAAATCAAAACTAAAAACAAGAGCTGCATAATATGACCTACTCAAATGTACTATATTAGCCTTTTGCAGCATCTGACCCCACCTCCCAAGTGCTGGGTTGCAATGGCTGAGTATTTAAGGGCAGTTGTTGTTCTTGCAGAGAACTAAAGTGGCAACTCACAACCATCTGTAACTCCAGTTCCACAGGATCTGGCACCCTCTTCTGGCCTCTTTGGCCACAAATATTCATGCAGGCAAAACATCAAATAAATAAATCTTAGAAAAAGATTTCAGGCTGGTCAGGAATAGTGGCACATGTCTTTAATTCAAGAGTTGGGTGGATCTTCATGAGTTCCAATCCTGCCTTGTCTACATAGTGAGTTCTAGTTTAGCTAGAGTTTATACAGTGGAACCCTAGCTCAAAAACAAAACAAATACATGTATATATAGATTTAGGACTATAATTGATCTCTCTTTGGCCTAGAGAAGTCAGATGGAGCTAGATAGCTTAATGATTAATACCAAGTATCTGTTGTTTCAGTAAGATTTCTTATAGCTGGGAGGTCGCAGTGCACACCTTTAATTCCAGTGGTGGGGATAGGGGTGGGGGACAACACTGAGGCAAGTGGGTCTCTGTGAGTTGAGTCCAGCCTAGTTTACAGATAGAGTTGCAGGACAGCCAAGGCAATACAAAAAACCCGTCTTGAAAAGAAAAAAGAAAAAGATTGTTTGCAAAACAGCAATAAATAGAAACCTGCTTCTTGTAATGAGTCCCCCCCCACCCCACCCCCGTAGCTTTAGGAAAATTACATGTTTTAACAGTTCTGTTATCACTCAAAAAGACAAATATATTTATTCCAGGTGCTTTTTTTTTCCTTGAGTCACGCTTTCTCTGTGTAGCCCTGACTATCTTGTGGACCAGGCTGGTCTTGAACTCAAGAGATCTGCCTGCCTCTGCCTCCCAAGTCCTGGGATTAAAGGTGCTCCATCACTGCCCATCTCTTAATCAAGATGTATATTTTTCCACCAAGATTTTTCTTTCACTGAATTTTCTAGAGATTTGCTCATTTTGTGTATATGAATGTTTCTTGAATATATGTATGTATGCCACGTGCATGCAGATACAACCTGTGGAGCCCAGGAGAGGGCATCTGATTCCCTGAAAAGATTCATTTGCTTAGTTGGGAAGCTGTGTATCATGGTATACATATAAAAAGTTGGAGGATCACTTGAGGGAAGTGTTCTGGGGATTGAATTTAATGTCATACTTGGTGGCAAGAACCTTTACCTGCTAAGCTGTCTTGTTTCCTCCTGAATATTTTTTTCTTACTAGCCTGTAACAGTTCTCTTAAGTCTTACTCTTTTCTTTGTAGTCACTGTATTTTCTATGTAGCCGTGGCTGTCCTGGAACTCACTTTGTAGACCAGGCTGGCCTCGAACTCACAGAGATCCACCTGCCAGTGCCTTCCAGGTGTTGGTATTAAAGGTTGATGCCACCACTGTCCAGCTTAAAAAAGTACTGTTTTGGTTTTTTCGAGACAGGGTTTCTTTGTGGCTTTGGAGGCTGTCCTGGAACTGGCTTTTGTAGACCAGACTGGTCTCGAACTCACAGAGATCCACCTGCTTCTGCCTCCCAAGTGCTGGGATTAAATGCATGTGCCACCACTGCCAGGCTAAAAAATACTTTTAAAAAATGTAAATCTTAGTGACAAGTATGGTGGCACACACTTTTAATCCCATCGCTAAGCAAGCAGAGGCAGGTGGATTTCTGAGTTCAAGGCCAGCCTGGTCAATTTATGGAGTTCCAGTACAGCCAGAGCTATATATAGAGAGATCTGTATCCAAAACAAAAGAATGGGTTAGGTAATTGCTGCTGACACTTCTTGATTCCTTAATTTCTGTCTCCATAAATTAATTATTAATTATTAATTATGTTCTCATTCTTAGAGGCTCTGGAGACCCTGGTAAAAAGAAACAGCACATTTGTCACATTCAAGGATGTGGCAAAGTATATGGCAAGACCTCACATCTCCGGGCACACTTGCGCTGGCATACAGGGGAGAGGCCATTCATGTGTAACTGGTCATACTGCGGGAAGCGCTTCACACGTTCAGATGAGCTTCAGAGACATAAACGCACACATACAGGTATGACCTAAGGGAAGAGAAAAAGAGTAGTAGACAAAGAGAAGACATGATATGCCTATGAAATAACTGAAAATCCTGAACAATTTATACGTGAAACAGTGTGTCTCAAAGAGCACTTGGATTAATCTGGAAGGTTTTAAGAAGGAGCTCCATTTTAAATGGGACTTTTTAAAAAGGTTTTTTCATTTATTATATATACAGTGAGGGCACCAAATCTCATTCAGATGGTTGTGATTGCTGGGATTGAACTCAAGACCTCTGGAAGAGCAGTCTATGCTCTTAACCTCTGAGCCATCTTTCTAGCCCCCCCCCCTTAAGTGGGATTTGAAGGATAAATATCAACCCAATCTTTATTTTGACTACTTTTGAACTAAGTTATCTTTTGCTTTTTTTTATTTAGGTGAGAAGAAATTTGCGTGCCCTGAGTGCCCCAAGCGTTTCATGAGGAGTGATCACCTGTCAAAGCATATCAAGACCCATCAGAACAAAAAGGGAGGCCCAGGTGTCGCCCTGAGTGTGGGCACTTTGCCCCTGGACAGTGGGGCAGGTTCAGAAGGCAGTGGCACTGCCACTCCTTCAGCCCTTATTGCCACCAATATGGTAGCCATGGAAGCCATCTGTCCAGAGGGTATTGCCCGTCTTGCCAACAGTGGCATCAACGTCATGCAGGTGACAGAGCTACAGTCCATTAATATCAGTGGCAATGGTTTCTGAGATTAGATACCTAGAGCCAGAGACATATGGGCCAATACCCACCAAGCCTGGGATGCAAGATAGCATGGGTCCAAGAGACATGTGGAAGAGAGAGCCATGAGGCATTAATGTGCTTGGTGGTGGGAAGAATTGGGGGAGGGTACAAGAGAAGAGATGGGATTGTGGCACCAATCTGTCACTGGTGACTTCTTGAAAATGGAAAATATTAGTGAAATTTCTGTTGGTGCCACCCTTTGATAAGCATTTATTTCATCCCAGGTTCTTCTTACACTTCTTACCCCAGCCTCCCCTTCCTGCGTTTCCCCTCTGAGCTCTCCCATGATGGATCCCCACTCCCCACCCCCAAAGCCATCATGCCTTGATAAATATATATGATCATTGAAATACTTTTTAACAAAAACAGATTCTATATTATATATATATATATAAAAAATATATAGAGATGCTTTCACAGGGGTTGGCTGGGAGGAGGAAAAAAGACCATTTTGTGACCAAAAAATACCTTGGTCATTTTTTTTTTTTTTTTAATATTGCCTTATTTCTCAATGGCTGAGCCTTATCATGACACATCAAGCTTTTCTATAAATGTTGTCCTGGCATCCCACCAGAGTAAGCAAATGCTGTGCTTTTAGTTCATATATACATACATAATGTGTCTTCTTCCTTAATTTTTGTCATTTTATTTGGGATCAGCTCCTTGCGCTCCTTTCCTGACTCAGTCTTTTTTTTTTCTCCCCTTCTCTCACATGATCACTTCCTGTGTTGTTTTTGACAATGATCTCTGAATTAGGCCCTTCACTCATTATTTTAAAGAGCTTAGTTCCAACTGCAGAATGGACAGCCTTGAAGTGCAGCCTGATGCTTGAAGTAGCTATGGGGGAGTGTTATTACTACTGACGCAGGCACCTTCTCAGTGCTGGAGAGTCAAAACCATTTCCCTTTGTTAGCTGCTCTAAACATCCGGAGTCAGAAGTCTCTATGTGGAATTGTTTAAAAGGCCCTTGGAGAGAGATAATCTGGGATCAGTGTGTATAAACTGTCAAAAAATGGTCAAATAGTAGGCAGCAGCTTTTAGTAGGAAAAAGATGTTCTCAGAAAAGAAAATAACTCAGTCTCAGTTATTGGAATTATTTGGATTTCAGTATCATTGTCTTCCAAATAGCCCTAAGCCTTAATGTAGGGGCTTCTGAGTTCACACACTGAAAGGAAGTACACTTCCTCTTTTGAACATTTCTGTAGTTCTTGTTAATGTTTGAATGTTAAGGAACATTAGCCAGCGAATCTGTTCTGACTTTTCATGCTGTAGAATGCAAAACTTGTGCCAGTGACAAAAGAATAGTTCTTTAAAAATTTTCCCCCTTAACTCTTCCTTATATGTACGTGGGTGTTTGTAAGGGAAAGGGAAGCACACAATCATGGGAACGATGGCCCAGAACAAAAAGAAATCTTGTCTTACCACTGTGGATTATAGGAGAGATCGGGAGAAATTATCCTGCTTTTTCCATGGCCTGATTCCAGAAGTGACTGATCCAAAAATTATATCGGCAGGGAAACTCAGTGCATTTGACACCGAGACTTAAATGCAACCAGAATTGTCCTCAAGGCCCAGCCATTAAAGCATTGTCTCTCTTGACCTTCTGGTATCTTGTCAGAGAGCCTTTCACTGTGAGGAAGTGTGGAAGTGGTTGTGTGTATGTGTGTAATCTATTAGGTTGGGGATAGGTTTTCTGTTAGCCAATATTTAAAGAGACCTGCAATAAAAAATTACCCTGATCTGATAGAGAAAGTAAATTGTGTATGACTGTGTGTATGAATGGGTGTTTGTGCCTGTATATATCTACGTGCAGATGAGAACTTATATTTGAAATTGTTGGAAAGTAAATTCAGATTAAAATGCCTTTCAGGCCTGTTACCTAGGAATTGGTTATAAAACTTGGGTATGTTCTTGAGGTCAGTTCTCTGCTTATGCTAAATCAGTTACAATTATGAATGGGGTGGGGGATCTCCTAGTGCACTTTCTAAAGAAGAAACTATTTTTGTGTTTGAAAATGAAATCAACATCCAAATCTATAGCAGAGTCCTTGTTTTAAACTCTTCTTTATCTTGGCTACAAATAGATTATACTATTATTATACATTTTATGTGAATTCCATCTAAACTAGATTCTTGGTAAGTTTGTGGTGTTGTTAGTCTGAAATACAAGAGCTGTTAATCCTGTAACATTAGTCTATTTCATTTGGTCCTTTCTGTGCAGACTTAATACTGTTATCAAGACTCAGGAAATAATATTTTAAGGCATTTTTCCCAGATCACGTTATTAATGTTGAAGTAAAAGTTATCTGTCCTCAGTCACCATGAACCTTTTATCCCCACAGAAAAGCAGAACTCAAACCTTGTTATTTTATGTCTATAATCATGTACTATGGCATCTCTGGAGGAAGGGGCAGGCAGGATAACTCACTGGAGTGTGCAGTATTTTGCTAGATCATTTCAAGGAATAGAATCTTGTTCAGTGTGAGGTGATTAGATAATGATGCCAAGGACTATAAGCCTGTAGAGAAGTTATTTGATAGTGTTTTCTCTCTTGGGTGAAAAGCTGATGATTTACACTCAACATCTGCTTCATTAACATTACCATGAATTAATTTGCATCAGACCTCTTCTACTTTTCCTATTTTCTTCTCCAGTGTCTTATTTGACCCTAAAATGGGAGCAATTTCTACTTCTGTCTTCCTGTCTATGAGCCACTTGGCCTTTTTCACAGACAAGAGACTGCATTCCTCCAGTCAGTCTCATTACTGAAAAAGAACGTTCCCCAAACTTTTGGCCATCAGAATTTAACTAATTGACCTGCATATTGCTTCTGAAATTCTTTTCATTGCTTTTTTGTAGTTTGGTTTGGGTTTTTTGTGAGCCATCTTTCTAGTTTGTGTTTTTTTTTTTTGTTTGTTTTTTTTTTTTTTTTTTTTTTTTGTTTTTTTTTTTTTTTTTTTTTTTGGTCTGTTTTGTAGCCCAGGCTAGCCTGGAACTCACTATGTAACCCAGACTGGCCTTGAGCTTTGGATAATTTTTTGCCTCCTAAGTGCTGGGATTATAGGTATATGCCACCATGCCACCATGTCCAGCCTTCATGATCTTTTACTTTTCTTTCTTTTTTTTTTTTTTTTTCCAAATGATTATACCTTGCAGGGTGGTAGGTGACCACAAATGTGATAAAATCTTGTTGGGTCTGTCTATGTAACCTTCCCTGGTCTGAACTTACAAATAGTCCAGACTGACCTTGAACTTTGAGATCTCACCTCTGCCTTTCAAGTGCTGGGGGTTACAGATGTGTGCCACCACGCCCAGCAGAAATAGTAATCTTAAACGCATTCATCCCTTTGTTCTGGGTTGCCCATTCATAATTCATCTGCATCCTATTTGACTGTCACCTTTTTCCTAGAAAGGACCAACCCACCATCTTCCTCTGGGGACCTCCCAGCAGGCACTCTCTTTTGGGGTGCTATGCAAAATTGCAATATAATGGATATTTCTCAGTCTGGTTTCAGAATAAATAGAACCTTTAATTGCAGAAAGTATAGACTGAAGTATGGGGTGAAGGGTGTTATAATTTGGGGAGGGTTGGAGACTAAAGCTGTAAATTACTATGGCTGATTTATTTCTACTATATGCATATATATTTTTTGCTTTTGTATATCCTATATAGAAAACTAAGCATTGTATTTTTTTAACAAATCTGAGAAAGCACTATGAACTGCAGGTGTTTGACTTTCAGGATATATTTTGTATTGTTAATACTTCACATTGTGTGAATACTGGAAGCTGCAGCTCTTTGTTAGACCGCAATAAATTTGAATACTTTTTGAGGGATTCTTTTGGGGGTGCTAATCAGGCCTCTGTTATACTTTGAGGGAGCCCTGGTGCTACACGATTAAAACTTTTCATTCAGTTTTAAGTGCCCTAATGCCTTTTAGACCTTGGGATCAGATCAGAAGTGGTTCAGAGAACAGGTACCAAGGAAAGGAGGACAGTATAGCTGCCTCAGTTAAGGGCCCTTTGCATGGTTTTGCTTTCCCTATACAAAGTTGGGTAGCCTCTTGGGGTTAGAAGGAGAAATGTTTGAAATCTTTTAGAAGAGCCAATAACTTACAAGGATAACGGTAGCAGCAGTTGCTTTGGGGAAAGGAGTGTATGGCACTTTTCCAACCCCGGAAAACATTGCTTTGAAAGCTGCTGATAAAACATGGGCAGGTTATTACTTTGGTGTAGAAGACTGTTTTCTCTGTAGTGCCTCTCTTGGCTCTGCTCCGGGGGGTGCAGATCTCATCTAGGAGGATGAGTAGCCCAGCTTTGAGGTTGACCTGTTTCTTTTCTTTGTCTGGCTTCCCTAAACACCATCCCCCAGAAAGACATTAAGCAGCCTTTAGCTGAAGTTCCTACTCCCTCTTCCAGACATGGCTCATGTGCTGTAGATGGAAGGTTAGAAAGGGAGAAGAGTGGCAGTCGTTGGCTCCATTCCTTCCCTGAGTCATCTCTGCTCTGACTTCTCAAACCTGAAAAGATTTCTCCACAGCACTCATTTGAAAAAGTGAAGTTTTTTTTTTTTGTTTTTTTTTTCTCATCTGCCCCTTCTTTACCAAACAGCCCAACCTTGTCTTGGCTAAGAAGGTCAGGGACTCATCTGTCCTTCAGCTTCTCTAAGTCCCAGCTTTTGGGGGGTTGAGCATGACAAATTAGGCTGGTGCTGCAGGTAGAGAAGAATGTTGGTACATCTGCTTGGTTGTGTGCTTTCCTATTTCTTGCCTTCAGGAATCACACTGTGCCTTCTCCACTAGGGAATTGATTCTATCTACCCAGCTTTTTTCAGTAACTGCTCTTGAAAACTTTGGATAATGGCAGTTCTTCATATTTCTGATGATTCTTTTCTCCCTGTAACATCCTGATAGCCCTTACCTAGTTAAAGACTAGGCAAGAAGTCTGAAGGGAATATGCTGATACTGATCTGAGGAAACCAGAGGCAGCTGTCCTAGAGCCTGCTTCCCTCTCCCAAGTCTGTCATCCCAGGGCAGAGGAGTAGTGCTCCAATTTGGTGCCTAAAGCAAGTTTATCTTTCTTTATACTGGCAATAACCAGTCTCCATACCACTGTTGCCTTTAAACCTCAAGCTATGTTTGTTGTGGGTTCCAATCCAATTACCACCAGGGCTGTGGGTAAATACTTCTAAACAGTCACTCACCTTGTTCTCTACCCTCACTCTTGTGTACGTATGATGTTAATATCTTGTCTTCCTGCTCCTTTTGTATCTTCCTTGTCTCTCTCCCCCTAACTTTGTTCCTGGGTGTTTTGGGGATCTCAATATCTCTTTCTCTATTTCTCTATCTCAGTCTCTCTGCCTTTTGTACAAAGATTAGTTTCAATGTAGTCTGTAGCTCCTTTGTAAACCAATTAAAAATTTTTTTTTAATAAATCATGTCTCTGGTGTATTGAGAGGGTTGGGAATGGGGAGTATATGGTAACTTCCTATTTTGAATCCAACAAATGTTGCAGCTATACTGTATTGTGCTCCCATATATTTTAATCAATGCAGTTACTCTACACTTTAATCTTAGATCAAGGTTCATGAACAGATAAGTGTGTTTTTACTATATAGAAATGGGAACTTCCAGGTTTGATAGTTCATGCTATAATCTCAGGAAGGCTGAGTAGGTTGGGTTAGTGTTAGTGTGAATTTGAGAGGTCAGATTGGTCTACATAGGGAGTTTGGGCCAGGTTGGAATCTGTCTCAAAAATCCAAAAATGGGGCCGGTGGTGGTGGCTCATACCTTTAGTCCCAGCACTCAGGAGGCAGAGGCAGGCGGATTTCTGTGAGTTCGAGACCAGCCTGTCTACAACAGCTAGTTCCAGGAGAGCCTCCAAAGCCACAGAGAAACCCTGTCTCAACTCCCCCCAAAAAAATCCAAAAATGGGGGGGCTGGTTTGACACCAACGGCTGGGTTTCATAGTTCAATGATAAAGTACTTTCATACTATACACGATGCTAAGTTTGATCCCCAGGACCCTTAAGAAGATGACCAACTACACACAAGAGAAACTCTCAAAAAAACAAAAACAGGATGACTAAAAGACCATGAAGATTAGGGGCATCTCCAACTTCTGTAATTTTTTCCTGCATTTGTGTTGGATGGGGCACATGCTTGCCATGTGCATATGCAGGTCAGAGGACAGCTTGCAGGAGGTTCTTCCACCATGTGTTACCAGGGCTCAGACTCAGATGTACAAGCCATATCCCCCTTTAGGATTTTGAGACAGAGTAAGTCTGTGTAGCCTTGGCTGCCCTGGAACTCACTGTGTAGCCCAGGCTGACTTCCAAGGGATAGAAATCCACCTACCTTCTGCTGGCTACTGCCTCTTAAGTTCTGGGATTTAAGATTATTTTTGTTTTATGGGTTTTTTTTTTTTTGTCAGCATGTGTGTCTGTGCACCAATATGTACAGTGCTCATGGAGGCCAGAGGGTACTAGATTTCCCTGGAACTGGAGTTACAGGTGTTTGTGAGCTGCCATGTGTTGGTAAACAACCCGGGGTCTTTTGAACCACTAGTCAGTGCTCTTACTGCTGAGTCATCCCTCCAGCTCCCATGTCCCCCCTCCACCTCCACCCTCATATTTTACACACAGAGTCTCTAGCAGAGGATGAACTTTTGTATTTTTGCCTCCATTTCTTCCTGCAAGGTTTACAAGCATGTACCCATGGCCTTATGCATACTAGGAAAGCATACTACCTACTGAACTATATCTTTATCCACCTTTTAAATAAGCTGCTTATTTTGGAATAGTATCTTTTGGGGGGGGAGATAATTTTATTTTTTAAAGATTTATTATATATATAGTGTTCCTACCTGTATGCATGCCTGCAGGCCGGGAGAGGACACTAGATCTAATTACAGATGGTTGTGAGCCACCATGTGGTTTCTGGGAATTGAACTCAGGTCCTCTGGAAGAACTGGCAGTGCTCTTAATTGCTGAGCCATCTCTCCAGCACCAGAAAAGATAATTTTAGATTTACAGTAATGTTACAAAGGACTTTTATACAATCCAGTTCCCACATGGAGGTCAAAGGGCAACCTTGAATCCATCCTTTTTCCACCTTGTTTTGAGGTGTGCACATACATACTTGCCAACAAAATGCTAGCACTCGGGAGGCAGAAGCAGGTGGATCTCT